ATATAAATACATCTGTTCAGTCATTTTTGTTTACTTACATAATACATTTGGTTAGTGATGAGTGGAATCCAAAAATGATACTTGCCATTCAAGTGAGCATTACAGCAAATTAAGCCTCAGCATGCGCAGCTACACTCCCCTAAAATCCACATTCGGATAAGATCATGGTGAAACTGCATTACGAAACACAGGTCCAAGAGTTTATTGGTCCTTGCCAAGTTATGGCGTATCAGACAGGGAGGGAGGAGGCTATTTCTGTTGGCGGTTCGTCAGGTAATTCCTTACAGTCAATTTATTCAGAATTTAGGTGGAAATATGATATGTGCCAAGTATGATCTTCTTTTGTTTTGGACCATGAATAAAAAAGGAAAATCAGCCTCGCCCAGGCTCTTTCAATGGACGTTGCATGCGCAATAAAAACAAAATGCTAACAGATTTAATCTGTCCCCTAACGTGAAGAAAGGCCTCCTCAAATCTCAGTTATCTTAGAAATGTTCTGAGTTACCTAACATTACATGAGTGACAACACCAGGCAAGGCAAGGCAAGTTAAATATATGGGCCATTCTACCGAATTGATGCAAAGTCAGGTTGGAACAGTTTTTAAATGTTGTATGTTTTTTTCCCAAAACTTTGTCCATATATATTTTGTACCATATCTAAATTACACATATCTAGTAAAAGAACCGTACCTTTTTATATCGTATTTTCAGACTGTATTGGAATGTTCTTCCTCTACCAAAAATGGTCACTACCGAAACATAGTACATACACTGTAGTAAAAAAGTATTATATTAACCTGTTAAGATTGTTTTACCTTCCCTTCTCTAAATAGTATTTTAACAAATGTCTTGAGGGTTTTCACAATTAAATCAATGCAATTTAATTTTTAATCAAATTTCAAAGTTCAATTTATACAATTCATAAAAATCATGATGCAAACTTTCTTTGTAAAATGCATAATACTGATCATATTGATTCCAGAGTTGATGATTGTTGAAATTGAACATACATTAAACCAATCAGTATCATATCATTTTAGTTGATAACTCAATATACTTAATTTTTTACAAAACATCCAGTGTTTCGGTAGTGACCACAGTATTTTTGTTCTCAAGGTTGTATCATATTCCCTCAACCTTATTGCTTAATCTTAACTCATAACATGCCTTATGTTGAAGTGTGAATGTTTGAAGCTACTGACCCAGAATCAGCACTTTAGTAACAGGCTGAAATAGAGGGGGATGAGGCTAGAATGGGTGATCTCAAAGTCAAAGTCAGCTTTATTGTCAACATTTCTACATGTGTTATACATACAGAAATCTCGAGATACCGTTTCCCGCAGTCCCGCAGTCCCACAGTGTGACATAAAACAAGATACAAAAAGGGCCTAGATAAAAGGTGTATACAACTAAGTAATAGTATTAATAAGTACTGGTTAATAATATATTTAAAAACACAGTCCACAGAACATGAATTGACATTAATGCAAGTATTTTTTGTGCAAAATAGAAACATTTTCAAAGTACAGTTTCAGTGCAGTAGCAGCGGAGATGGGTAGAAAAGTGACTGGTGCTGGATGAGGGAAGGTTGTGTGTGTGGAGGGGGGGGGGTTAAAGTCCAGGACCATTTGGGGCAGGGGGGAAAGGTGAGAGGCAGGGTGGAGAGGTCAGGGGAGAGATGTCAGCGAGGGGGAGAGAGGGAGGGAGGGAGGGGAGAGAGTTCAGCATTCTGACCGCCTGGTTGAGGAAGCTGTTCCTCAGCCTGGTGGAGATCGAGCGGAGGCTGCGGAACCTTCTCCCTGAAGGCAGGAGGCTGAAGAGGCTGTTGGAGGGGTGGGTGGAGTCACCCACAATGCTGAGTGCTTTGCGGGTGAGGCGGGTGTTATATATGTCCTGTAGTCATTCCACGTATATGCTCATACAAATATAGAAATTAAGAAGCTACGAGCAATGTCAGCTATGTTTAATTAGTATAAGTAGCAACATAATGTGAATTTGTGTTGTTGCTCAGATATGTGTTTGGGAATAATTTGAAAGTGTTTAAGTAGGAATAGTCAAGTTCTCTCAACCCATACATTCATCAGAACAAAGATTTAACAATAAAATATGTTTCCAGCTAAATAAAGAACAGCACTTCAGCAAGCAAAAGTGCAAATGTGCAGATTTGTAATGTTAAAATGTTGCACCGCAGAACTGCGAGGTGCGCGGCAAGCTGAAAGCGCGCACTATCGCGCACAGAACTGGAGATTTGGAGGAGTACAGGAAATCTAGGTATGATCTCCGGAGAGCAATTAACAATGCAAAGAGACAGTACAAAGAGAAGGTGGAATCTGACTTCAAAGGCTGTAACACCAGGAATATGTGGGCGGGACTAAGAACAATGACAGACTACAAAGGAACAGCGGGGGGTGCTGCGGGAGTGTCTGCGTGCGCATCTCTCCCAGATGAGCTGAACAGTTTTTTTGCACGCTTTGAGAGCAGCCAGGCTGTGGAGGTACAGAGGGACCAGGAGCTACACTGCCCTTTTGTTTTAAACAGCTCCTGGACCTGATGGCATCCCTGGCCGTGTTCTCAGGGTGTGTGCAGTTCAGCTGGCAGAGGTGTTCACAGACATCTTCAACAGGTCCCTGTTGCAGTCTGTAGTCCCCACATGCTTCAAACACTCCACTATCGTTCCTGTCCCGAAAAAGACAATAATCACCTGCCCCAACGACTACCGCCCAGTAGCACTCACCTCCATCATAATGAAGTGCTTTGAGCAGTTAGTCAAATCATTCATCACCTCCTCCCTCCCTGACTCTCTGGACCCCCTGCAGTTTGCCTACAGAGCAAACAGGTCCACAGACGACGCCATAGCCCACACCATCCACACTGCCCTCTCACACCTGGACCCGAAGAACAGGAACACATATGTGAGAATGCTGTTCATTGACTACAGTTCAGCATTCAATACCATTGTGCCCTCCAAGCTGGCCATCAAGCTCAGAGAGCTCGGGCTCAACAGCGCCCTCTGTGACTGGATCCTGAACTTCTTGACGGGCAGACCCCAGGCAGTGCGGGTGGGAAACATCACATCCTCCACCCTGATTCTCAACACCGGTGCCCCTCAAGGCTGCGTGCTCAGCCCTCTCCTCTACTCCCTGTTCACTCACGACTGCGTGGCCACACACAGCTCCAACACCATCGTGAAGTTTGCTGATGACACGACCGTCATCGGCCAGATCACAGACGATGACGAGACGGCGTACAGAGAGGAGGTCGAAAACCTGACATCTTGGTGCCAGGATAACAACCTCCATCTCAACATCAGCAAAACAAAGGAGCTGATTGTGGATTACAGGAAGCAGCAGAGAGAGGGACACGCCCCCATCGCCATCAATGGGACTACGGTGGAGAGAGTCAGCAGCTTCAGGTTCCTTGGGGTCCACATCACTGAGGACCTGACATGGACTCTTCACACCACCACCATCACCAAGAAAGCTCGACAGCGGCTCTTCTTCCTCCGCAGGCTGAGGAGGTTCAAAATGGATTCCAGGATACTCTGCAACTTCTACAGGTGCACCATAGAGAGTATCCTGACTGGCAGCATCACGGCCTGGTACAGCAGCTGCACCGACCTCAATCGTAAGGCTTTACAGAGGGTGGTGAAAACTGCACAGCACATCACCAGGACGGGGCTGCCATCCATGGAGGACCTTTACTCCCAGCGGCTCAGGAAGAAAACACTACGGATTATCAAAGACCCCCATCACCCCAGCCACAAACTGTTCTTTCTGTTGCCGTCTGGCAGACGTTACCGCAGCATCCTGGCAAAGACAAGAAGATTCAGAGACAGTTGCTTCCCGCGGGCAGTGAGACTGTTAAACAATTGAACTGCTGAAACAACTTCAAAACATTAATCTGCTACTCAGTAATATGTATCTAATATATATCATTCCAATAACTTGTATATAGACTCGTACTGCACTATTCCACATGCTCACTTTATTTGATAACTATTTTTCTTTTTGTATTGCTCTTGCTATCTGTATTGTTATTATGTTGCATTGTTGGAGAAGCCTGTGACATAAGATTTTCAACAACATAATTACTCTGTAACTGTGTCAGTTTGACAATAAAGAACCTTGAACCTTGAATGTTTGAAGCTACTGACCCAGAATCAGCACTTTAGTAACAGGCTGAAATAGAGGGGGGTGAGGCTAGAATGGGTGATCTCAAAGTCAAAGTCAAAGTCAGCTTTATTGTCAAAATGTCTACATGTGTTATACATACAGAAATCTCGAGATACCGTTTCCCGCAGTCCCACAGTGACATAAAACAAGATACAAAAAGGGCCTATAGATAAACGGGGTATACAACTAAGTAATAGTATTAATAAGTACTGGTTAATAATATATTTAAAAACACAGTCCACAGAACATGAATTGACATTAATGCAAGTATTTTTTGTGCAAAATAGAAAAATGTTCAAAGTACAGTTTCAGTGCAGTAGCAGCGGAGATGGGTAGAAAAGTGACTGGTGCTGGATGAGGGAAGGTTGTGTGTGTGTGTGGAGGGGGGGGGGGGGGGGTTAATGTCCAGGACCATTTGGGGCAGGGGGGAAAGGTGTGTTTGTTAGTGAATCATACGGCACTTGTAAAACTTGTTTACCTTGTTTGTGGAGTTATGACATCAGCTCCAGAGTTATGCTCGGGGGGACTTGGCACATATGGAATGCTGTTTTTGTCATGATCGAGGCGAGGCGAGGCAAGTTTAATTATATAGCACTTTTCAACACAAGGCAATTCAAAGTGCTTTACAAAAATGAAAGACATTAAGAGCATAAAACACATTAGAAACATTAAAAGATAAAACATGAATAACACATGTGAATAGTTCAATTAAAAGCAGCGGCAAAAAGAAAAGTCTTCAGCCTGGATTTAAAAGTAGTGAAAGTTTGTTTGTTTGTTTGTAGCCTTTATTTAACCAGGTAAAATCCCATTGAGATCAACGATCTCTTTTTCAAGGGAGACCTGCAGCACATTGGTTACACATAAAAACAACAGAAAACAAAAAGAACATCATAATTACAGGGGTACAACAGTTGCAGCGGATCTGCAGCTTTCTGGTAGTTACATTCCAGATATTTGGCAATATCCCTAACCAAATTCTCACATTCCTCTACCCCTAGTCTTCCCGTGAAAGTATAGTTATTTTGACACTTTTCTAACCTTTTCATATTCCTTTCATCCTTCTCTTTCATCCATTTTGCATCTCCAGACAACACATTTTCCCCTGTGTTACTGTTACCCGAACACATCTTTTACTCTTAAACCACTTTTCTTTTCAATTCCCAGAATTAGGATTATTAAACCTGTTTTAAGACTTCCCTCATGATCAACATCCCAGTGTATGAGAGTCAGATATTCATAATTACAGAGGAATTACATTCTGAAATAAACCATAATTTTCATACATAGGTTTGGCCAAGTTGTTGGTTAAATGGTAGCATCTCCTCAGGCAAGCTCTACCTCTCAGTGCTCAGTGTGAGTAGCAGATGTATCAACTCGACCCCAGAGTGCTGCGATGGAGGTGATTCCTCCATGGGTAGTGCCACTGATGAGGACCAGCTCGGCACCCTTGTGGCTGGGATACATGTTGAAGGAAGTGCCTGAGGGCTGGCCTGCTTCAAAATGGCGGCCCTTGCTAGTTACGAACACCACTGACTGCACGTAGTGACTGTACATCCCAGAAATCTGAATGATGGCTTCCCCGCCAGACAATTCCCTCTCCTGTAGCTGGCCGGATGTCGTACCCGAAACTGAAGACCAAGTGAAGCCGTAGCGGAACTGGAAGCTGATGAATGAAGTGTAACAATGCTCAGTTAAAAGTCCTGCATTCAAAGTACGAAAGCATCGGCATCAAAACCTACTTAAAGTAGCACAGGTAAAAATACTCATTATGCAGCATGTTCCATTTCAGAATCATATACAAATATAATATAAAATAAACATTGATCGTATTTAAGTTATTGATGCATCAATGTGATGATTACTTAAATATGGCATTTGGCAAAAGTGTGACTTATTTGAATTACTTTACATTCTACTGAGTTGCCTAATCTTTAATAAAATTGTTTTAAAATATTTTTTGTAACATTGAACTAAATCTGCAAAGGTTGCTAGTTATTGATGCAGTAATATGCAACATAAATAGGAAAATACTCCATTTTTAAATTACAAAAGTACAAGTACCTTAAGTTATCAGGTTTGATCAGGTACTAAATTAAACAGGAACAAATTCATAAGGGAACTTCAAATGTTTAGTGGTCATATTATTGCAATAAATACCTGCCACCAGTGGATCAAAACTATAACATCTGATGGTGTCTTTTACTCAGTGTTACATTATTTTTAAAATGCTCTTCAGTCCTTCCAAAATAATGATCTATAACATTTACCCTCGTATGTAGGACGACTCCCACACTCGTACAGCTGTGATTCTTCCCTCCCCAATTATACTGAACGGAGAGCCACTCCCTGACCCCGCAGGAGGGGAGTAGGAGTAGCTCTGAGTCTCAGCTGCGACAAGGAGACAGACAAACATATTATGAACTTGAATTATCCTTATAAATTTGATTCATAAAGGATAATGCATTCATGGAAACTTACGGTCAGCTATAGCAGAGGCTGCAATAACAGCAAAGATAGCAAGAAAAAGCATTCTGAAAAGAAAGAGAAGAGTTATTTACCCTGCATCTTGTCAATAATTATTATTGACTATAGACGGAGTCTCACCTGTCTGATTTGTTGTTTCTTCTATTATCAAAAGATACCTGTAGCGGATAATACAGAAATATAAATACATATGTTCAGTCATTCTTGTTTACTTACATAATACATTTGGTTAGTGATGAGTGGAATTCAAAAAATAATACTTGCCGTTCAAGTGTGCATTACAGCAAATGAAGCCTCAGCATGTGTGCAGCTACACTCTCCTAATATCTACATTTGGAGTGGATACGATCATGTATAGTGCAACTGCATTCAGAAGCAAAGCCTGAACAGTTTATTGGTCCTTGCCGAGTTATGACGTATCAGACAGGGAGGGAGGTGGGTGGGTATTTCTGTTGGCGGTTCGTCAGGTAATTCCTTACATTCAACCAGTGGCGGCCCCGGATGTTTTTTCTTTAGCCCCGGACAAATTCTCCCTCAATATAATACATTAACCGTACTTCTTTACCTATAGGACGGCAGATTTGTAATTTCCCGTGTTCAGTGAATGCAACATAGGCAAGCCAAGACACCACCAGACCAATCAGAGAGTTGCATGGAAATAAACGTGTTTTATTGGCTGACAGGTACGTACCTCTCCTCTGTGACAATGTTTAAACTTTAAACTGTCAGCCCCGGACGCGGAAATTCTGAAGATGGACATTAGACATTTTTTCAATAAAAAAGACGGCAATACTCAAGTGGTGGCTCACACAACAACCCCAGAGCCACCACCTGAGCCAGGTGAACAAGGTATGTACATGTCAGTAAACTTACAAGTTATGCGAACATGTAAGCAAAGCATAAATTACAGCTACGTTGACTACTTTGAATCGCACGGGTAATCTAAACCGTTAGCAAGTAGCTATAGCGAGCCAGATATATTAAATAAACACTTTGTCATACAATATAAATGTTGTGTTTTTTAGCGTTACCTGGTGATTTCAAAGAAAGCTCTCTGGGAAATGTTGACTTACTGTTCGACAGGAAGCTAGAAGCTACCTTACAGTACACAGTTGATCCTGAGTCCTGTCAGTTAAAGTGTTTCATAGTTAGCTTAGCTAAGCATCAAACTAGCACTGAAATATATGGATGTTATGTGACAGTATTTCTGAGAAAAGTCAGCTTAAATGGTGGCATAGTTGCCACTGCTTTACTGTCGACAGCACGTTTGAACGTATTTGCAGCAGTACATGTGGCCGTTTGGCCACTGACGTTGCCATAACACCTGAATTTAAATGTGCAACCTCTTTTTGTGACAGATTTTTGCATGAAATTATAATTCTGATTGATATTTCTTATTGATAGCTAGTTTCTATGTGAACATTATGAGATGGACAGCCAGCTAACAAGCTTTTTATATACAAAGATTTCAGATCAAAGCTAATCCAGTAGGGCTCCTGAAAGGGGACAAGGGACACTATGCTCCCAAATATTAAGCCTCGACCCCCATCTTAAAATTGATATGATCAAAAAATCTGCATTGTCGGAGGCCTTTTTTCCTCATTATCATGTCAAATTGTACAGCTTTCCTTAGTTTTGAATGCAGAAAGATGACTATTCGAGTATTACGTGAAAATGACTATATTTAAGTGTTAAGTAAATATATTAAGTGAATTACTCAAACTGCATTTGTATAGGAATGATTCTCTCCTATTGGCAGATAACTACTAACAGTGATATCTACAAGAGGTTTCCAATGTCAATTTAACTATTTTCAATTGGTTAGTATTATATTTTGTGACAGTGTGGTGACACTCATTTTAATGAAGACAAATTTGTGTATCTTGAAATTCATTTATTTGACAGAGCTGGAAACTGATTTAAAATACTTGTTTGTGTTTACCTACACAGTCATCACAGATGAGCCAAAAATAGTAGAGGATGAAGAAAGGAGAACAGGAGAAAGGGACACACAAGAAGGAGATACAACAGATAAGAACAACAATGAACAGGAACATCAGAACAGACAAGAGTCAATGGGTAACTGGGGAACTGATTTAGGGACTGCAGATACAGGGCCAAGGCAAGTGAGACATCACTGTTTTCCATCCAGCATGTTTGGCCAGCAAAAGAGATCATTTCAACCAAGTTGGTTTGATACTTTTAAATGGGTTGAATATTCTACCACTGCCAATGCAGCATTCTGCTTTAGTTGTAGACTATATGGCAAACCAAAGCAATCAAGGGATCAAAGGGACACCCTCACCACCTCAGGATACACAAACTGGAAGCGTGCATTGGATTCTTTTCGAGAACATGAAAAGTCAAACATACACAAGGCTCTTCTTTCCAGTTCTCGACAGAATGCTGGAGGAGCTTCAAAACAGGTTTTCTGGAGTTGGGGAAAAAATATTAATTGGCATACAGGCATGTCACCCTCCATGGGGAGGTCGTCGACCGATTTGCGAAGGTCAAACCAAGGCGATTTAGCCTAACACTTCCACCTACAAAACAATAAAGAGTGTGAAGACAACGAGTGATGATGGGGAGAAAAAACGAAGCAAATGAAAGGTAATGTGATGAAGGAAGCAGCAAGTGAGGAAGGAAGCAGCAAGTGAGGAAGGAAGCAAGTGATGAAGGAAGCAGCAAGTGATGAAGGAAGCAGCAAGTGATGAAGGAAGCAGCAAGTGATGAAGGAAGCAGCAAGTGATGAAGGAAGCAGCAAGTGATGAGGGAAGCAAGTGATGAGGGATTATTATTTCCTCCTTCCATCCCTTTTTTCAGTTTAATCTAATTACTAACAACTTCTAATAATTTGACATAGTTTATGATGTAATTGGAAAATCAAGTGTTTTTAAATAATAAACCTGTTTCTGATTCTGATTCTTTGATTTTTTTTGACATATGGGTGTTGAGAGATGTATAGATCTCTTAATGTTGCTCTCAAAGTGCACCAGATTGATGCTTTTAACTTCAATATTTAAAAAAAATCTTCCTGGGGGAGTTCCCCCCAAAAATAGTACTTTACCTCTGCTTATGTAACTCCGGTGTAGTGTCCCCTCGGCAACAGATCACTCACAGTTGGTGATTACTTTCCTGCATTTCAATGGACAGCATATAAATGCCATCTCTTTAAAAAAATAAGTGTCCAGTCAACAACAAAACATCAGTGATCGTATAGTGGTAGTATATTTTTCATAAGCAATGTGAAACATTAAACTTAAAAAAACTGGTGTACAAAACTCACATACCTGCGTTGATCTCCTGGAGTGTCTCTACTCTTTCTTCTCCACCATTAGAGATTGCAAACATTTCAGAAACAGCTAGAGGTAGGGGACAAATAACTTGTTCGCTGGGCATGTCAAAAACCTACCTGCTTTGATCAAGACTTTAGGGAGCCTTTCAGCCCCTCTGGCAAAGGGGCTGGAAAGCAAGTTTTGCAAATGCAGTACCATCTACATGCTTGTCCTGTTCCAGACACTGCTCTCAACCACTCAGGGCCTGCACAAATACCTGCAGAAAGAAACAATTGACTTGGTGCAGGCAGTAAATTACAAAACAGCAGTTGAGAACACACTGAAAAGTTACCGAAGTGACGAGAAAGCAAGACCAAGGCCCTGTGCAATGATCTTGATATTCCCGAAACTGTGACACAGAGGAAGAAGCGTAGAAACATGGAAGATTTTGTAGTCGAGGCATCGTGTGGAGCAGCTCTCCCATTAGCTTATTAGCTCAGATTAGCTATTGATGATCACGTTGATAAATCATATAAAACCAATAGCCAAACACACAAAAAACATGCTGCTGTGTGAGCATTAAACGATTAACATTAAACTAAACAAACACAACAAAACGTTATAGTCCTTATAAAATAAAAACATACATTTTGTCCACCAAAATAATACAGGCACCTTACCCTCGAGAGATCCTCACATGTTATGAGAATCTCCCACAATCCATTGCCATAACAAAGCTAATGCAGGCACACGTTTGTTTGTGACACCAGATGGCGTAATTCTTCTTCTTCTTTTATTTAATGGCGAATCGCTTCCACTTGGAGCATATATCGCCACCTCTGGCGTAACCCGAATTAATTCTCCGATTTAACAAGGATTTTATACCAACCTTTATAACTCTGTACACACAAAACACACCTATATGTCGTGAGCTGATTATCGAGCCTTCATTGTAACAGATTTGGTAGGCCACCACGTTATTCTTTACTTTCTACGTCTTTATATGGAGAAGATATTACTTTTTTCTCCGTCATGTTGTTTCCATAGCAACAACAACTTCCTGTCAACAGCCAACGAAAAGTAACAAAAAACACTGTAATATCCTTTTCAGTTTCACAGAACACAAATTGGGTTATTTACATAATGTTTACAGTACTGTTTATTGTTATTTTGTAATATTCTTTGCGGAATTTGGCCATGTAAAATGTCCTATTGGGTTGCTGTACAGCCAATGCGTGACGTCATTGGTAAGCCGCGTAACGAACCCCGAACAGATTCTGGTACCTACACCGCCACTGTGGGCTCAGCCCCGAATGTTTCCAGGTCCAGGCGACGCCCCTGCATTCAACATCTTCATAATTGTAAATAGGATATGTGCCAAGTATGCTCTTGTTTTGGATCATGAATAAAAAAGGAAAATCAGCGTCACCCATGTTAAAGGTGGCTCTTTCAATGGACGTTGCATGCACAATAAAAACTAAATGCGAACAATACATAGTGTGTATACTTGGGGCGTAACAATAGAGCAGTGGTCGGCAACCTTTTTGATATGAAGTGCCATAAAAAAAAAAAATTGTTATCAGCGTGCCAACGATCGAGAATTATCAACGGGGGGGGGGTTGAGGAGCTTGACGCTGGTGGAAGCAGTGTGTGTGTGTGTACCTGTCAGCACAACGTACATGATGCCGAATTTAACAAACACATTTAATTAAATTGGTTTAAACGGCATAATAATAAGGACGATCGTCCGTTCTGTGATTCTCCAGAACAGGGGTTCCCAACCTTTATTGTGCCAAGGACCGGTAGATACATTAAAAAAAAATCGCGGACCGGTTGTCAATTTTAACTGATTTTAATATTTACTCACCACCAGCAGGTAGCAACAGAGGCTAATTGTATGTAACAGCCTGAACAAATACTAGAACAATATGCATCCAAAACATATTAACAACGTTTAAAAAAGAACCGGTGTTGTTTTTTGGTTTTTCGGAAAACCAAAAAACCGACGTTATTCAGTTTTTAAACCAAAACGGGAAAACAGATAA